GACAAAGATTTGTCCTGACTGTGGGCAAGGCAGGAAAACTCTAGCTACATTACTGTATTTGGAAAGCCACAAGCTTCCTTCTAGAGAGCCCCTATCAAAGATCCACAATGGAGCTCATTTAATATGCAGAAATGAAAACGACAAGAATTACCATATCACAAATGCTCTCTGGATGTTAATAGTCTTACGTGCTCATGTAGAGAGAAAAATAAAAGCTATAAATTCAATATTCATGTGAATATGCAACTTAAGATATTGTAAAATAAAGGTCAACATAAATCCAAATAAATCTTTTTTAAAAAATGTTTTGGTTTGCTTCAAGACGGGGGTTTCACTGTGTAGTCCACAATGGTCTCAAACCTCCTGCCTTGTCGTCCCAAGTGCCAGGACTTACAGAAGTGCCCCACCACATTTGGTTTATTTCTCTCACAGGTTCAAGCATCCGTTCTCTGTGAACCTAGACCTCAGATCTAGCAGAGCCTCAAATTACAAGGATGTGAAGATTAACATGGTCATGATGTGTGAAAATGCATCCATACCTAATCCCACACACACACACTTTATTCTGTGACATGTGCACTCTGGCCATCAGTTAAGACATAGCTTGAAGCACTGCAAAGACAATATCCTAAATATTCTGTCCAGGATGGTGCAGAAGTTTATATAATTGGCCATTCCAAAGTTCCATCTGGACAGCTGCTCAGCTGGGGTGACATATGAGATAGAAGCAGTGGCTCTGTTTTTAGGTACCCACTATTAAATCTCATCCATACTCACATAACCCTTATTTTGAGTTGATACAAGAACCCATGTTAGAAACCACGTTGGAAAAATCAAGCATTCTGTAAGCCTTCACAGAGGAGCTAAAATAGGCATTGCAGGCAACGAAGTACATCTACTGTGGAGGAGATGTCTTTAGTATGAAGCATTGGTCTTCCCTTGATGGAAGAGGCCAATATAATCAATGTGTCACCAACAGACTGACTGGAAGCTTCATGGGATAGTACCATATTGCACTGAGATGGTCCCACGGGATGACCATTGATTTATATCGGCCTTGGAGAAAGAGGCAGGCAGTTGGCATGCACATACCACATCTCTGCCACTATGGCCCACCTTCCAAGCATCAACAGAACAAGCTTGGAGTTCTACGATTCGGAAGCTAGCTGATGTCTGTCAGGGAGTCTTCCTGTCCACATGTCTGTTTACTGCATCTTCTGAGGTGAATGCCCTCTGGTAGGCAATGACTTGAGACACAGATACCCACATCTTGTGTCAAGGCACATAAGTTCAGCCAACTGTTTCTCACTCAGGCCTCTGTGTCTCCAGCTTCCCTATCCTGCTCTTTGAACATGTTTTTGATGTGTTATAACTGGAGGTAGAGTCATCTAAAGGTCCAGATGAGAAAGGCAGGATCCCTGGGGTGGTGCTACCAGGAGTAACGGGATCTTTAAAATTAAGTGCCTAGTTGGTGGCTATTGGGTCACTACGGCCATAATATTCTGGCTCTCGGGAGTTCTTGAGATCTCTGAAGTTCCTGAGAGAGAGAGTTGCCATAAAAGAAGCAAGTGTGCTCCCCCATATTCTCCTCTGCTCCCAGCGCAAGCAAGATTCTAATGCTTCTTCCTTCATACTCTCCACCATCGACCATTGCTCATGAAGTCCTCACTAGACATGACCCTGTGAAAGCCTTGAACCTTCAAGACATAAGCTGAATAAACCTCCTTGCCTTTCTTTTGTTGTTGTTATTTTTGTTTCTTTTGTTTATTTTTCAAGACAGGGTTTCTCTGTGTATCCTTGGCTGTCCTGGAACATACTCTTGTAGACCAGGCTGGCCTCAAACCCAGAGATCTGCCTGCCTCTGCCTCCTGAGTGCTGGGATTAAAGGCCAGCACCAAGGAGGACCTGGATCCTCCTTGTCTTTCTAAGTAGCCTCGTCAAGTACTTCTTTATGGCAATGAAAAGCTAAGATAGCTACGTCATGCCTCTTCCTCCTCCATACAAACTGAATGGTCAAATACCCTGTTGTATTAGTTTTCTCACCTCTGTGAACAAATACCTGACAACTGCAGAAGAAGAAGTGCCTGTTTGAGACAACTGCAAAGAAGAAGAAGTGCCTGTTTGGTCTCACAGTTCTATAGGAAACAAGATCTGGTGGGTGGGGCTGTGTCCAGAGCGGCAGGAGCTTCAGCAACCTCCATGGGATCAGAACGCAGAAATCTCAGCCCAGAATAAAGGTTGGCTGCAACCCCTACAGCTGTAGGTCTTCCAATTAGACCCCACTTCTAAAATGTTGCACAACCTCCCGACACAGAGCCAAGTGTTGAAACAGGTGAATCTGTGGGTGGCATTTCACACTCAAGCCACAACACTCATTCACAGATCTGGCCACTGGCAAGATTTTCCCATGCTCCTGTTCGGGAGCCCATGCTGGTTCCTTCTAGATCACCCCAAGGCACAAGATTTTGCCTCCATCAGTTTACCGTACAAACACGCTCAAGGCTATGGCATGAGCTGAGAGACTGACTCTAACGCAGCAGAGGAGAAGACATGGGATCCTGGCCATGTGTTCACTTAATTGCCTCGTGTTCTTTGGATCTACTCCCAGTGACCACTTCCATCATACTTGAGAGGCAGCTCCAGCTTCAAAGTCATTTGACGCCTCGTGGTCAATTCTACAATGTCCTTTAAATGACTATTTTCCAGCTGAATAGTTAAGAGTCATGGTTACAAAAGAAATACCCTTGACCAGGTTTCCATGGCTCTGTCCTGCAATTCTAATACCAAACATTCCAGAGACTTCACCTGGCATCTTTATCTACCATGAACAACCTTCCTGCACACAGGGCATTTTGTAGCATCGATCTACTACAAAGTCTTTCCTTGATCTACGTGTTATTTGAACCACAAAACAAATGAATCAATGCTGTATTGTCAATCAGATGTAGGATACCCCCAATCCCAAGAACTCTGACAATGCTATGTGTTTTTCTCAGAAGGAAGGACTAGTTGGGATACAGCATCTCAGACCAGTGGATCCCCACAGTTTTTTGTTTGTTTGTTTGTTTTTACTAATATGACAGAACTCTAAATTTTAGGGGAAGGAAGCTTTATCTCCAATCTACTTTACTGGCTATATTTTGTTCAAATCTAGTTAGCATCATACTCTGTAGGATGTCAGGGTGATCAAGGCCCCTGGGGCTGTATTGTGATAGGAGAATTAGCACTAGCTGGGGCAAGGCAATAACTCTACACTGCTGTGTTCTCCATTCATGAACAAAATAACTTTGAATTTCCTTACTGGTGAGGACTTAATTTGGGGAGGGGGGTTGACGCAAGGTCTCTCTATAGAACCTTGGCTGGCCTGGAACTCCCTATGT